TTAACGGTGCCGCTATTGATGAATAATTTCGAATCCACTTCCGGTAAAATCCGGTGATGCCAAGAAAAGCTCTAACATCTGTCACACATTGAGGACGATTCCAGTTGACAATACATTCAACCTTGTCTTTGTTTGTTTTGATACCATTTTCTGTCAGGGTGAAACCTAGAAAGTTAACCTCTTTTTGCAGCAGTTCACATTTTTCTGGTTTCAGCTTTAATCCAGCGGAAAACAATCTAGAGAACACTTCGTTGAGGTTGTCGATGCTTTGCTCGAACGAAGTCCCAGGTACCAGAATGTCATCTAAATAAGCGATGACCTTTTTGAACAGAATTCCTTTGAACACCTCTGTTATCAGTCGACAAAAAGTAGCCACACTGTTTGCCAGTCCCATTGGTAGAACTTGGTAGGACCAATGTCCACTGGGAGTGGAAAATGATGCTTTTTCTTTTGAAAATTCATCCAGTTCAACTTGGAAATATGCCTGGTTCAAGTCCAGTGTGCTGTAGAACTTAGTACCTGCCAGTTGGTCGAGACACTCATCAATGCGTGGTAAGGGGAAAGCGTCCTTTTTGGTAATTTTGTTTATAGCTCTGGCGTCGAAACAGATTCGCCATTCACCTGATTTTTTCCTGCAGAACACTGCGGGCAAATTCCACGGGCTGTTTGATGGTCTAATGACATCGGCATCTAACAGTTGCTGGATAAGTTGGTCTTCGTACGGCTGGAAAGCTTTGGGCACTCTTCTTGTTTGAATTTTTATTGGTGGATGGTCTCCAGTGTCTATTTCATGCTTTAAGATACGTGTGCGCCCTAAGTCTGTATTTGTTGCAGAAAAAACTTGATGATGCTGGTACAACAACTTCCTCAATCTTTCAGCCTGGTCGTCGTTTAGGTTTGCAGTTGTCACTGTTCTGCGAAGCAAGTCCTGGAGTTTGACTTGGAGTTCGTTGGAGATTCTAGGCGGTCGCTCTGCTTGTAATCTGGGTGTCGCCGAACAAGCCTGGCTTTGATTCGCTGATGGTTTATTGCTCTGGGGATATGTGTTGTATGAGGTTTTCGATTGGGAACATGGGATTAGTTCAGCATCAAACTGGATGTTAGCGATGTGTGCACCCTTGTTCACCGTCACATCCAGGCTTGTAGGATTCATGATGAGGAACGGGGTTGACATATTTGACTCAACCCTAACACAAGTGTCTGGCAGCTGAAGTCCATAAACCTGGCTGACGTGTGGAGCTTCTTCGATGAGTGCCATTTCATGACTTGTTGTTTCTATTTCTTTTGCACCAACTCGGCCTTGGACCAGGGCATATCCCCCTGCAGGAACTATAGTTCTGGTTGCCACTTGTACTTTATACACCTTCTCTGTGCCTCTGGTCTGTGTTGGAACCCTTCTGCCATTTAGGAATAAGCCATTCTTAGCCGAAAATTGAAAGTCATGTCGCATCAAGAAGTCCATCCCTAGGAAACCATCTTCTTCAATGTCAGCAATGACAGTTCTCCACTTGGTTACAACACATCCTGCTCTCATATCTACTGTACATGTGCCTAGACAGTTTATTTTGTCGCCCCCTGCAGATTGCAGTGTGACCTTCTTGTCCATGGGTTGAAGTTTGTTTCTAATGGCTTGTGGTAACTTGTTGAAGGCTCTTGTGGACATGACAGTGACAGCAGCGCCCGTGTCCACCAAAAACATCATAGAATTATTTGCTACTGTCACCGACACCAATACCGAAAACCCATGAGTAGCACTTCGGATTGAAACCGTTGTCTCTCTGGCCACGCCCATTTCTTTATTGCTTGGCGCGGCCTTTAGAAGTTTAAAGAATTTTCGTCGTTTGAGTTGCCTGCCACACTCTGTTGAACTTCATTGATTCTGGCTGTAGCTTGGGTCGGCCGGGCTTGATAATTGTTTCTATTAGTTGGCCGACGTTGGTTCATTTCTTGAAATCTACTATTTCTTGGGCAATTCCTAGCCAAATGTCTGCCCCCACAAGTGTAGCATCCCGAGTCGCTGGGCCTACGTTGATTACTGACCATCTCTTGTAGTCTTTTCACCTCCTGCTGTAGGCTATCTATCTGGCTCTGCTCCTGAACCGAACACATTTTTGTTTTTGTTGTGCTGTCTCTAGCACTGAGGTATTCGTCCAGAATGTTTCTGGCCTCATCTGTGCTAACTGGGCGCTGGGCGGCAATGATACCTGCGAGGTGAGGATCTTGTAACCCCTTGAGAAAATAGCGCAGTGCAACTGTTGCTTTAGTTGCTTGGTCAGCTGACGGGAAAGCCATGGCCGTCAGCCGTTTCACATCTGACGTGTATTCAGCGGTTGTCTCCCTTGCTGACATCTTTCTATTCTCTAACTGGGTCAGATGTGTAGCGGTGCCCACCCTGGTGTCAAATCTAGCGCTCAGTGCTGCGACAAACGTTCCAAGTGTTGCTCGGTCAACTTGAGTGAGTTCAAGAAATGCAAAGTTGGCCGCACTCCCCTCCAAACAAGCTGGTAGATGCAGTAGCTGTCTATCTTCATTCCAGCTGTTAATGCGAGATATCGCTTGAAACTTGTTCCAAAACACTTGGAATGGCGCTGACCCGTCGTATTGTGGTAACGCCTGGTTCATACTTAATGGTCGCTCATCTTGTCTAGCGATTCTGAGTTCTTTAATCGTTTCTTGCAGGTTTCTTATTTGAGCCTGTAGTTCAATATCTGCCATTTTTCTCCTCTGTACTAACTGGCCTGCTTTCAGTCTCTCTGGTTGCGTGTTAAAGATCGTTTCTTTCGCTGCCACCAAATGTAATGTTTTTACTGCTCTCAAAATATGCTGTTCTATTGTAATATTCTTGCTTCTATCAAATGTAACGTTCTTCTTCTCTTCTATTTCTCACTCTCAGTCACAGTTACAGACGATCAAGAATGAAGAATAAGCCGTCTTCTGTAAATCTTTATTTGACTATCTTTCTTGAGCGGGAATTGTCTGTGTAGCGCGCATCTAACAAGACTATAGCGCCAATACGTGTGCTGCATAAATTACTGGCTAGGGCCGTCGTTTCTCCATCCCATCTAAGGCTAACCCACCGGTTTATATACCCCACCCGCGAGCGTCTCGGATGACACCTTGCTCTTGGCACGAATTCTAACGCTTACCTGTGAAAATTTCCCCCGCTTTTGTGCTAACCGACCCCAAATAACCCTATATAAAAACTTAACGCGATCTCCTAAAATTCTAATAAGCTTATCCTCTGAAACCACAGACAATTCCCTTTACACTGATACAAATTACAATAAACATCAATAAATTGTTCTTCAACAATAATACTTCAAACATGCAAATATTGTAAAAATATCATCAAATACACCTAATTAAAGTAGATTTCCCTAATATCGGCTTACTCCTAACTAACACTAAGATATTCTAATTAAAGATCAAGCTTGGCCTAATAGTTCTTCCAATTTTCATGCTATAATAACAACTATTTATTAAGATATGAATTTTTCTTCTTGCCCTACTAAGCACAATTGACTGATTTCTAACAAATTCACGACAATATATAAAGTGGCGTAGCCAGGATCGTCTCAGGGGGGGGGGTCCAATTTTTACCCGGGGACAAACTTTCGATTTGCACCCCCCCCCTCCCCTCAAACTTTCGATTTGCACCCCCCTCATACTTTTTATATATATACCGAGGTCTATAGGGGGTGTTATGACCCCCCTAACCCCTCTGCCTACGCCACTGTATATATATATATATATATATATATATATATATATATATATATATATATATATATATATATATATATATATATATATATATATATATATATCCTAATCTTCAAACATACTATTTTTTTTTAAATCATTAGGCCTAACGGTTTGTGGCCTATTTTGATTTTTTTTAAATTTAAAATTTCAAGTTTAGATAGGGGGTAGAACGCAGACTGCTGACCAAAATGTTCTGAGCTCTAATCCTAGAACACTAAACACAGATCGGTACCTAGATCAATCTCAAATTTTAAAAATTATAAGGAAGCTAGGCATAAATCTAGAACTGATCAGAATGTCTCATTTGCCGAGAACAACTAAATATGTGAACTCTACCTAATATTCCATATGCTCACCAGGCCCTAATGGGTAACTAAGAAACTAATCTAAGGATTTTTTAATCCAAATAACTAGATCTGGATATCCTGTACCTAAAAGAAAGATAACTAGATCTAGATATCCTGTTCCTTAAAAAATTAATATCCAAAATCTCATTTCTAATGACAATAACGTAAAGTATCTTCCATACATTTCTTAGTAGTGTAGTGGGTAAGCAAAAATGGCCAGGCAGTTTTTCATTGATTGCAAAGGCTGGTCAATAATGTTGCTTGTCTGGAGGCTTGCGAGTGAGACCTAATTCAGCATGTAGACCCTATGCCTAACATTTGTATTATTTTAATGTTTGTTACCACCTCACTACACGATCTGACGCTATCTGACAAAGTTACTTTCAAGTGCTGTGCATTTTTCAAAAGGCGTCAATCATAGAGTCATGTGTCAGAACTCGACCGCTATTTAAACTAAAATGTGTGCTCGAATATTAAAACATTTGCTTTTATAGTAAAAAAAAAAAATCCAATAATTTAGCTTTAAAGGGAAATTTACTATGATTTAAAAAGGAAATTTGGGGGCCCCTAAAAATCGGGGGCCCCTGGCTGCAGCCCTCTCAGCACCCCCCTTAATCCGCCACTGCCCCCCCCCCCCCCCCCCCACCTCCATTACATATGATTGAAAAAATTAAAATCAACACAAAGCTGTAGAATGGTATTAGATCCTAAATGATTAGTAAGAAATAAGACAGCGTGTGTATGGTATAGCTACTAGATCTATATTTTAAAATAGAAAACAACAAGTAACACAGATCTATCATATTGATAACATATTTATTATTGAGAACAGTCAAATTCAAAACATTTCGGGGAGACAATCCATATATTTAAGGAAATGAAAACAGGGTTGATTTGGAAGGTAATATTCTTTTACGAAAAATAAGGATAATCCTAGAGAAGTACTCTTACCACATTTGGCGGCTAAATTTCTTTGTTTAATAATAAATAATAAGTAGGTTTACAATTTTTCTTTATAGAAAATATCTAAAATAATATTGGTAAATAGATTCTAGATCTAGATATAATTAAAATAGTCCAGTAACAACATGATCTAGAATCTAGATCTAGACTCTAGAATAGAATTTCTAGCTAAACAAACTAACCATTACCAACCTTACCACCCGACAAGTACTGAATGAAGAGCAGGTTCAGACGGGGCGGGGTGGGGGTGGGGGGGCTCGGGTCAATGTAGACTATTGTAGACCTCCACATTACTTACATTTAAAATTTAAAAAAATGAAAAACAACTGCATACTATACTGAATGTAAATGGGGGTGGATTGCAGCTGTTTTCTAAAATAAACAAACAACTCTGTAGGCTATTTCACTATTTCAAGTTTATTTTTATATTTTAAGTTTATCTTTACTTTAAACGTTTCAAACGATTGAAACATATGTTTAAAAACAATTAGATCTAGATCTAGACCTCTCTGATAAATAATGCAACAGATATTCATAGTAGTGTAGGCCTTTGTCATCATTTTTTGCCAAAGACGATGTAGATCTACTTTTTTTTAAAGTAATAAACTCAAAATAACCACATTAAATTATAAATTTAAATAACAGTGCATGTTGATTGTGCTTGAGTGGTCAAGCTGTAGGGCTCACTGAAATGGGGGAGAAGTAGTTTGTTATGGAAACATGTGTAGCAGCAGTGTCCGTAGGGTTGAGTAAAAGCAATATGATGTCACGTTTATTAGCTAAAATTTTAACCCAACCCATATAGTCACTAATAGCTAGACAGCCACAAATGACATCAAATAGTTTGGTCTACAGCCCCACTAACAGTTACTCTGTAGACTTAATAAAAAATATTTTATGACTGGCTGCAACCTATGCTGACTACTTTTATGAAAAATAGTGTGTAAAATTGAGAGGAACACAGTGTCCATTCTCGATCACTCTTTCAATAAAGAACAATTTTAAATAGTCTTAGCACATCCACACAGTAAGTTTACACGCTGAAGACCAAAGGTTGTTGTGGAAAAGTATTATTTCTAAAATTAAATTAACTTTTTCCAGACTTTTTTAAAAGCCATTCAAGCATTTACTTTTCTAGACATTTTCCAGACTTAGCACAAATGTTGACCGCGCTATATGCATTGATTAATTTTTTGGTATAGAACGAGAAATAAAAGTAGCCTGTCGCTTGACCTATTTTTTTACCGTCGTCATGGTAAAGATGGCTGCCAAAAACGACGATATTATTATTTTAGAAATGTATACTTAAAATCATTATTTTTGCGTATTATTCAACAATACCAGTCTAGTTTTACCAATTGACGATTAGTGTTTGATGCAAACTTGCCATTTGTAGTGTACATTGTTTTGGTGTAATCGCTGAGAATATCGAGCAGAACATAATAAAAGTAAGAAAAATGTGAATTTGATATTTGATATTGTTCTAAACTTACTGAAAATATATTCTAAACTATAGACAATTATAGCTTGCTTTCTACTAAACTAATGTCATTAATGTTTTAAAAATCATGCAGGGTAAAAACAAAACCTATAAAACATGACTTGATCGAGACAACAGCAAACTAAGCCCGTCCATTTTGCCCGCCGTGTATTTGAATGGGGTTAAATCTAGCAGATCATACATTTCTGCTGAATGGCAGTAAACTGTCAATCATGACACAACAACACTCCTTAAAAAACGAACCCACCGTATCACTGAAAATCAGTCATATCATCGTAGCCATTTAAAAACAAACGCATTTTTCACAAATCATTTTCTAAGCTATTGGTTAGATTTGATAAATAAAATTGGTATCAAATTAAAGGTAAATAAATGTAGTTTTTAATTGTTTAAATAAGTCATCTTGAACAATAATGAAGTTTAAAATCTTAGGCGACACCCTAATAAAAGTAAACACACATAGAGGTCATAAACCCAAGGAGGCTACTACTTACAAATATTATGACGGTTAAGATGGTTAAGGCATCTACAAGTGCAGAAAAGCATCCTATCAAATAGAAAAATAGATGTCTTATACTTTGCATTTTGTGTTTGCTATGGCAAAAAACATTTAAATAAACCTAGCGCTTAACATATAGGGCCTAATTTATGCTAAGTCGTTCCAAATATACTTATTTTTTCAACACTCTCTGGGCTCTACTTGTAATATTTAGGCCAAGTAATATAAATAAAATACTTCACATACTTAGCCCGCAACAAGCAGCACTAGTATGATAAAAAACCAGTAATATAAAATTACAATACCTACTTTAATAAAGAAAAATGTTTTTATTAATTATGTCAATTAAATACTTAAGCCTAGTAACTTTTAAGTAACTAGTAGGCACTATAATTACTGATCAGAGGTACCTCCTGCCACGAGTTTAATAAATGTGTTCTGTAAAATTGCTCTTATAATGTACCATAGCTTAGGCCATTACTTGTTCTTGGATCAGTTGCAATTAGTTTTAAATAGCACTTTTTTTATGTTTACGGGGCGGGGTGTATAGTTTACAAATATTTTTAAATACTGATAATGTGAATTGAGTTCACATATAATAAAGAAATTACATTAGACTCACAATAAAAGAAACTGCATTAAATCATCAAAATGTAAATTTTTTAAAAGTATAATTATGAGCCAATTGTAAATACATTTTTTACTTAATATCTTTTCAGGATCTGTAGCACCCTTGTATCAAATTCAGGATCTATAGCACCCTTGTATCAAATGTGAAGTGTCTATTACCATGAGTGCGGAAGCTATCATTGTGGTTGGGCCACTCCTTTGGAAATGTGTAAACTGTAATTTGCTTATGTCATGGCAGCATAGTGTAGATAGCCACCTCTTAACCAAACACAAAGCAGAGATTAACCCAAATCTTAATCTTGAAATCCCAGAAGAAAATTTCTGTCGCATTGTAGAATGTTCCTGCAACAAAGCTAGGAGAGAGAATGTTGTGGTGGTTGTTGAAGAAAACGGTGCAGAATCAACTCATGAAATCCTGCACTGTCCTGTTGAAGGTGACGTGGCCTACCTGACAGAAGAGCAACAGCAGCAGGTGGTAGCCTGTGTGCAGGAAGGCAACTGTGTCACAGTGGAGGATGGAACATCACATCTGCTATTGAATGTTGTTGACAAGTCTGACGATGCCAACAAAATGACTGAGAACCATCAGGATGAGAATTCCCAGACACTTTGTTTAACTTTTGAGAAAAACAGTGAAGATTTATCTTCCACTCTCTGCTACTTTGTGCAGACAGAAAACTCAGATGACAGTCAAGAAGTGTCTGAAATACTGTGTGAGTTTGCTAGAAATGAGACCAGGGGAATTAAAGGAAATAAAATCTCTTGTACTGAAGGTGAATCAGAGAAGCAGGAAGAGTCAGAAACATTATGTGGTATAGTTTTTGAACCAAATAATGAAACGTATCAAGATGTCTCTAAAAGTGACAATGTGCCTCCAACATTAAAAGTACTATGTAAATTGGCAGTCGAGGAACACCAGAGAAAAATCAACAACACTGGAAATGAGGACTCTGAGAAAGATGATAAAAAATCCACAGACACACCTGAAACCCCCAAAACAAAAGTGCCCAGCCCAGAGGATGATCTGCCGAAAGATTACTCCATAGTGGCCATCCATGGTTTCCAGATCCCTGCACGCTTTGCTGACATGGGGGATGGTATCAAAAGTTTTAACCTCAACAAATTTTTAACCTCACTGCCTGGCTCTACAGCTTCTCAGCAGCTAATCAACCTTGTGAAATCACTCACTGCTTACAACATTGAACTCACTGTTAGAGAAGATGGCGGATTTCTTTTTCATTATAAAAAAGACGGTAATGAAAAGTCTGATGCTAATGAGCAATCCTGTTCCTGTACCATATGCTACAAAGACTTTATATCTGTTGAAAAGTTTATGAGGCATTTATATTTTACAAACCATGGAATGAGCCCCCATATGTGTGGAAACTGCTTGTGTCTTTTCCACAACCCCTTTGCATTGCATATTCATCAACTTGAAACTCACTTCAAGCTAACCAAAAATTTGCCATGTGTTATGTGTGACGTAGTGAGGAAAGATAGTCTGTCAATCATCACTCACATGAACAGTCATCGCAAGAGTATACTGGCATTTAAAGGCATTGAAACTCCTGTTGGGCTTGAGCCCAATGAAAACAACAAAGCTATTCAAAATAAAAAGAAGGTTACTTTCAATGAAGAAAAGAAAACTAAAGAGAAAAAAGTTTCTAAGGTTGAATCTGAAGGTGAGTCAGATGATTCAAGCTCAAATTTAGAAAACAGCAGATCTAATGCATCACCTAAGAAAACTGCAACTTCGGTTTCTGCAATGCAACAAAAGAAGCGGAATCATGGATTTATAAATGTTGCCAAACTGTTTTCCAAAAAGTCACCAAAATCCAAGGAAAACACATTGCCCTATAAAAAATCTGGCAACGAAAAGGCCACGCCTAATCTGGGTAAAAGAAAACTTAATGGTAAGGACAATAATGAGGAGGAACCAAGAGGAAAGGTCCAGAAGAGTTCAGAAAAGAAAAGTAAGAAAGAAAGTCCAAAAAGTGATTCAGACTCTCCTGATGCCAAAACTTTGCTCCACCAAGAAAATGATGAAGATGATTCTGGTAAACGGCGTAGCAGCAGGCAAAATAAAGGAAGAAGTTCTTTTTATAAAGAATTTGCTGTTGACTTCCCCTGATTGAAAATTCTTTTAGTATTATTAAAATTGTAACTGATATAGAGTGAAACCTAAAACTACCAAATGAATTAATGGGCACTTAGGAAGCTTAAATGAGAACATTTCAAACATTTGTTGGAAGTGCCTGTATAGTGAATACTATGTTTATGGATTGTATGTTATTTTTGTGTGTAGATTATTGTTTTAAAATGTTTTTGTTATTATTGCCATCCTCTGTCATACAGTTAATGTCATTCATATAAGATTATAAATTTTGAACATCTGAAAAATGAAAAAAATGTATTAAGATTATAATGACAGGTTTAAAATCTTAATGAGCCTCTATTCCACACCACATAGTTTTCCTTGACTGTACATTCTCTAAAGATAATAGGACCTAGATTATATTTACACCATGTCACTCTTCCAATAATAGTACAGGTGATTTATTTTTACACTTAAAATTTTATCTTGTTCTCTGTTTATTTAATGTGAACATTAGTTGTAAATTAAAAAGTAAATAAACAAAAAGTGATAAAACTTTGTATGTTTACACTCTATTTATTCCCCATTGAGCCTAACATTACACTTAAAAAAAAGACAATGCACCATTTGTATTTGATAGTATTGTGTTATACAACTGACACTTGGGTGTTGTTTGAATTTCAGAGAATAATATCACTGTTACTGGTGGATTCTTGATAGTGCTGAACCAATTTTAAAAAATACAGCCTTCATAGTAAAAAAAAACAGTGGAATCAATGCCGTTAGTTGTAGTAGGTCTAAGTTAAATACTGACAAAAGTTATTCACTTAAGTTAGACCATTAGTTTTAACAAAAACATAGCTTGTGCTACTGTACCTTAATCTGTTTGCTTACACACTCAATTCCACACTGTCCATTAGTCAACATGTGGGTTATTGGTCAAATCTTGCAGCTCAGCTTTAACACATTTCCAATTGAGAATTTCATTCGAATTTCTTAGGTAGTTGCAGATCCACCCACTAAGTAAGACAGTGGCGTATGCATGGAGTGTTAGGTTATACCCCCCCCCCCCCCCATGGACCCAAAAAAAATGCAATTTTACATTCTTAAAATCTATATATATAATTCTCTTCTTGGAGACCCTAGAAAACACCAAGCTGTAAGCGCGCTTCCTACCACCCCCACCCCTACATGTTCTGGTGAACTGTGGTTCACGCTAAATGTTTACAATCGTAGAGCCGGGTTTAGTGACGGCAACTAGGGGCAGATAATGTAGTTTGAAACGATTTTAAACTTAGGGGAGGTAACTAAGAGGAGTTTGCGTTCAGGGGGGGGGGGGGGTAGGGGATATCGTCCTTAACGAACTACTGATAGTGTTTTAAAGCAAATATTTTCAGTGGCAGCATTGGTACTGTCGAATTAACCAATTATGAATTACTTAAAAGTAGAAAATAAAACAACTAAATAGCGGCGTATGATACGCCGCGGGTCAGCTCGTTATATATAATTAATCAATTTCGAAACGGCTATCACTGACTATCACTACAAAAATATCAGCTTGCTTCTAATTATCCAATACACTGGGTCACTTATCAATTCTTTACATAACACCGGAATGGAGAATAGCGTAATGTAGATATGGATCCAGAGTTTCTTCCAGGCATCTCTTTGGGGGGGGGGGGGGGCGAAGCCCCCCGAAAATTTTTTACCGCCCCCCCCCCCCCCGAACGAAATGAAATTTATATAATTTATAAAGAAAATATATACTTTTAACAGTGTCCGCCCCCCCGAAGAAAGTTTACCGCCCCCCCGAAGATTTCAAGTGCCCCCCCGGAGAAAAAAGTCTGGAAGAAACACTGTATGGATCTGCTGCTAAGTTGTTACAAAAACATTTCAATAGATGGTGGTGTTCTCAACAGTGCCACACAATTTGTGGCTAACAAGTTCAAAGAAAAAAATGTTGAGATTACAATTGAAGAAGATTTTGAAGCAACACCAGAGTTTCTTCCAGGCATTTCTTCGGGGGGGGGGGGGGGGGCGAGGCCCCCCGAAATTTTTTTACCGCCCCCCCCCCCCCGAACGAAATGAAATTTATATAATTTATATAGAAAATATATACTGTTAACAGTGTCCGCCCCCCCCCCCGAAGAAAGTCTACCGCCCCCCCCCCCCGAAAATTTCAAGTGCCCCCCCCCCCCCCGGAGAAAAAAGTCTGGAAGAAACACTGAGCAACACTCGCACGCAAACCACACTTGATGTCTGATAGTCGAGAGAAAAACCACGAGGTAGGACATAATGAAGTTGACATAACTGAAACAATGGACACAAAAACTATAAGAAAAGCGATTTGAAAGTCTTGATCCCTTATATGCATATATTGACAGCATTGATTAATACATTAATAAACATAGTTTAGTGATATAAAAGATGCAGTGCACTGGCAATTTGCTTGTTAAATTTGACAAAAGCGACACGATTAAGGGGTCATCCATAAATGACGTCAAGTTTTTTTTTGACGATTTTTACCTCCTCCCTCCACAAAAAGTCAGCCCCCCCCCCCCAAAAAAAAAATGACGTCACACCTCAGACCCCCCCACCCTCCTCAAAATTGCAGCTGAATTTTTCATAAAATACGATATTTTTTCTATCTGAACTCTGTCAACATAGAGTATTTTAATCAATTCCTATTACAATTTATTAAAACAGTGTTCTAAAACGCGAAATAACGGCTAAAATTAGTTTTTAACATTGCTTTTTATAATGGAAAAGTGTGACGTCACACCATCTGAACCCTCCCCCTCCTCCTCATCACACACCCAGTGTTTCTTCCAGACTTTTTTCTCCGGGGGGGGGGGGGGGCACTTGAAATTTTCGGGGGGGGGGGGTGGTAGACTTCCTTCGAGGGGGGGGGGGCGGACACTGTTAAAAGTATATATTTTCTATATAAATTATATAAATTTCATTTCGTTCGGGGGGGGGGGCGGTAAAAAATGTTCGGGGGGGGGTGGGCTTCTTCGCCCCCACCTGAAGAGATGCCTGGAAGAAACTCTGCACACACCGTCGCAAAATTACGAACCCCCACCCTCCCCCCTAAGAAGATAGGGCCTACTAGGCCTAGATCTAGATATCTAGATTCTAGGCTACTTTTAAATAAAAGAGTTCTTAAAATGGCAGCGGTCTAGATCTAGATTTAATCGCAAGGTTTACTAAGGTTACTGACTTACTGAGTCACATCTTGGAGAATATCACTAATGAATTAATAGATCTTGATACAGGCATCTAGATTCTATAGGCCTAATACTAAATTTAATTATGAATATATAATGTTGTGTTAAATCAGGGTTCGTACGCATTCTGGAAAAAGTCCCGGACCCAGTGAGTTTGTTTTCTTTTAATCCCCTCTCTGTACTGTTAAACAGTAGGCCTATTTGAAATCTTAGCACATACTGACATAGGGCTCGGCTAGACAAACCCTAATCTCCTTGTATTGTAACTATGGTCACTTGTATAAACTTAAGAAATAATTTAATGGAAAACAATGCAATTAGATCATTAAAAGATTACTATCTAGATCTAGAATCTATAAGGCAGGAAACAGATTCAACTCTAAAACATCTAGATCTACTTTTAGGGTCGATTTTCGCCAATTTTCAAAGTAACAAATATTGACATATTATATATCAATTTTGTTGCTTAACAATCGAGGAATTCAAAAATATAAAAATTAATAGCACTAGACATTTACATCACGTTCAAAATTTAGATTAACCACACTCACTCAAATGACATTTTTTTTTTACATCTAAATGTAGGGGTGTGGGGAAATTGCGAGACGCGAAAAGCGAAATGGCGAGGCGGGAAAATGCGAGAAGGTAATGCGAGACATACATGCGGAATTAAGGGTAAATAGCGAGACACTTTTTGCGAAAAAAGGTTTTTCCTTTTTTTTCCATCTTTATTTATTTAAATTATTTTTGTTTTGTTTTAAAATAAACAAGCATTTAGCCATACCCTTTAACACGAGTGTTGTATGTTGTTATTTTTTATCTAGATACTAAGAAGATAGATAGATCTATATCTAGATCTATCTATTTAAAAATCCTAACATCGTTGCTGTGCTACTGTCATCGCCCGCTCTTGTTAGCGAGAGGAAAATCCCGTCTCAGTCGGCATTAATTTTAAAATCTAGCCCGCTCATATTTATACAAACGTGAGCTGTGTCATTGTGAATTGGTATAATCTTGTCTGCAGGAGAGATATTTTGCAACATCTATTTATGGATTTTTGTACTTGCAAAAAGTGTAAAAGTATAAACAATTCTAAAAAGTGCAATTTATTTTTTTATTAAGTAATTTTAATTACAAACAAAATTTACAAACAAAATCTTCTGAAACAGTCCTCAAACACACCTCGTGACACCATCTTTCACACATAGTACACCCAACCCAGTTCATTAGACTCCCATTTATACATTTTTCTTTTGCTACTTCTTCCAATCCACATTCACAACATTTCACATTCTCATCACAGTTGACCTCGTTCATCCCACAAACAACACTGGCACCCATGTTCTCATCATCATCATCATCCGCACGCTCAACATCTGTTTTCCGTTTTTTATAATTTGTATTTTTTATCATTTCTGTAATTTTGGCAATGTCTTGCTCATTGTTGTCACCAGCAGTTGAGGTTTTTTCAAACATCGATATTTTCCCAAAATCTTGTCTAATTTCGGTCAAAATAGAGTATTTTAATCAATTCTAAAACGCGAAAAAACGTCTAAAATTCTTTTTCTAACATTGCTTTTTTATAGTGTGACTTCACATCTAACCCCCCCCCCCTCCTTCCCCTCATCACACATCGTCATAAATTACAGACCCCCCCCCCCCCCTTACGAGTGTGACGTCATTTATGGAAGACCCCAAATAACACCACCACCAAAACCAAAAAATTCAGATAAGTTCAACTTGGTTTTAAAAATATTTGAAGTAGGCCCATAGCTTACGATATAGCACGAGCAACTGATAATATCGGTGACGTCACTTTATTCTGTTGTATCCAAATGATGTAGGCATTTCCTTGTGCATTTCCTCGTAGGCGGCGGCTATAATACAAAATTTCTATGCAACAATAGAAAATATGTTTGCGGCGGCAGCGGATCCGGGCACGGTGATCTTCAAAGACGGTAAATCAGGCGGCCTCGGCGTTCCACACAAAAGAAAGAAGTTGATCTATCGTCGGCGGTATTTCCGTCGGTTTCGAACAAGGTGGTATTCTAAGTCGACACAAAAGATGGGGGGAGTTGACAAATCATCAGTATGTCTAACGACGGAAAAATCGGAAGTTTTAACAATGTAAACGAAACGTCTTTGAAGTCTGGACCAAATACCAATGAAAATCGGGTGCGGTAAATTTTTCGCAGAAATCTTCGCATTTCAACACCACCCAGCGTAAGTATCGGCTTGTGGTAAAATGCGAGACAAAAAAGTCACGTGACCGACCGTTTTCGCGCCCTTCTCGCATTTTCCCGCCTCGCCATTT